AATCACATTTCGATTTTCTTAAAAAGAGGATTGAATTTTATATAAATGTTTAAAAAGATGAAAACTTACCCTGCGATCGGCCTATTTTTCCAGTCACATCTGGTGTTATGCTTCACATCTGGTGCAGCGGAAATTCACATATCATTTTTACCGATGCTCATTTTTGAGATTCATATGGGGTTCCACCCCCGTGTATCAATGGTAGGATACTACGTCATCGCGCACCTGCTGAAAGCTCCCACTTGGACCATTTTTTCGTCGATTCGAAGGTAAAATACAATTTTATTATAAGAAAACGTAAGAGTATTAAAAAATCATGTAGCGCACCAAAGAATGGCTATAGTACTTGAGATAATTGTAAAAAAAAGTTTATAGATTCATTGCCTGGTTTAGGCCTGAAAACGGGATAAGTGTTTTTCTCTGAATGCTCCCACTCGGACTTTTCCCGAAACAAATAAGAAATAAGGTTGAAAACCTTCTTGAAAATTATTTTAACGTACCGGAATATAAACCGAGTCATGTTTACACATTTTTCCAGATTAGTTTCAAATATGTCTATTCAAAAGTCAGTTTTTTAAAGTTTTTTTTTTATAAAAATGGAAAATGCTCCCACTTGGACTCGATTTCAGAGATGCTCCCACTTGGACCCAAATATATACATTTTGAAAGCACATTGATGTGCCAAGCTTTTATGGATTATTCTTACAATTTTTAAAACATTTTGTCAATAACTACTGTGTTTGGCGACATTAACTTTTACCTTCTTTTTACAGAGATCACTTCTTACGTCGTTGGGCAGGACCCGGTGCCATGGCAAAGTTTCAACTGGCAGGATCACTTTACAAAAAGGTGCACTTGGCTTATGTTGGATCCGAAGGGATGATTCAAAATTATTGCCAACTACAAAGATAGGACTATAAGACTTTAAATGGACAGTTTGGATCTCAAGAATAAAGTGTTTTTTTGAGATGTTAAAACAATGGTGGTGCTTTATAAAGAAATCATTATACATTGTTTAGTACCATACTGGATTAAGATTCTGTACGTGGACTCGTACACATATTAGAGGCCTGCATTTATTCAATAATTGTTGACTTTAATATCTTGTTAATAATTTTTAACCCAATGATTTGCGTGTTTGTTAAACTTGTGATTTAGATTTTATAACAACATAATGGTACATTTATGAACATAAAGAAGTCAATATCTATCGGCTGATTTGAATAGTTTATTAAAGAACAACATGTGAATCATTTTTGTCATGAACTGGTTAAAAAGTCAATGTACTGCCATACCATGGCATATAAAGCATGCATCACAATTATTGACAACTTTGACATTTTTAAGTATGAAAGTTATCATATGTACGTATTTTGACCTAAAATAACAAAATTAAATAAATAAGAAAACAAAGATCACAGTTATTTCTTTATCACAGTCTTTACCATATCTTGGTAATTACAATTGAAATTTTATATATATGTATATAATTATGCTTCTAAAACAATTTTCAAACATTAAGGAATATGTGAAATACGTACTGCAAATGCTTGTCCATATAATATGTAATCATTAAAATATACATGTATGCATTCATTTCTTATTTAAGAATTCAACTTACACTTAAAAGAAAATATATTTCTTATTACCTCCCTTTATGAAATATCAATTCGGTATTATCTTTACAAATAATGCTTTTTGGAACATACAATATTGATAAATCTTCATTTGAGCATGATATTTATTATACAAAACCAAAGTTAATTTTAGGATATTTAAATGACGTTAAAATAATAACAATCATACAAGGAGGAATCACAGACAGTAAAATCCCCCGCCGAAAAGGAGGAAATACATTTCATAGGGGAAGTAACCCTTACATACATGTAAAAATCCAAGTACTAGTAATGACACTCGTGAAAATAAATGAAAAGTTATAGCCTAGAAATAATAAATCATGACAAAAATAACACTCCCAAAAAAAATATCTATCTTCCAGTGAAGTTTCAGATAAATTGATCCTTTATGACACATTGCCCAATGATTAACGCAAAAACTGAACAAAAGACAATTACTTCAAAGAGCTACAATTCTTGTGTTTTCTAGAATATTCATCCTCGCTGAGATATATCCACAGTTGGTATCTAAAATATTTGCTCCAGCTATGCCGTGCCAGTCCTGCCATGTGCTTCCTTACGTCGCAATGTGGTTTATACCTTTTCCCATACTGGTCACAAACACAAATACTTTCTGCAAAACAAAACGTTATTATATTTTTAAAATGTATAATCAATTTGTTTCTTATTTCAGCGACTCTATTTAACGAGGAATTGTTTCAACACAACCTTTTTTCCTTATTCTTAGGCCGATAGAAGACATATTTACGAGACTGTTATGATACAATATGTCACAATTTAGTGATATAAATATTAGTATCGTATTTTAAAAATGCTGTTTCATTGAATTCTAACTGATAATATGATTACTAGTATATGAACTTGAATATAAAAATATTTTGAAAAAATAATAAATTCTTAACACAGCAATGTGCTTTCAAAATATGTGTATATTTAGGTCCGAGTGGGAGCATCTCTGAAGATGAGTCCGAGTGGGAGCATTTTCAATTTTTATAAAAAGAATTAAGAAAAACTGCTTTCTGAATGGAAATATTTGAAAGTAATCTGGAAAAATGGATAAACATGACTCGGTTTATGTTCCGGTACGTTAAAGATAATTTTCAAGAAGGTTTTAAACCTTATTTCATATATGTTTCGGGAAAAGTCCGAGTGGGAGCATTCAGAGAAAAACACTTATCCCGTTTTCAGGCCTAAACCAGGCAATAAATCTATAAACTTTTTTTTACAATTATCTCAAGTACTATAGCCATTCTTTGGTGCGCTACATGATTTTTTAATACTCTTACGTTTCTTATAATAAAAGTGTATTTTACCTTCGAATCGACGAAAAAATGGTCCAAGTGGGAGCATTCAGCAGGTGCGCGATGACGTAGTATCCTACCATTGATATTTTTAACAATAAATTACTTTTCTTTTACATCACCGCCGAAAACTTTAAATAACTTTTCCCAAGCTTTTTTTCATCTTTGTTCTTTTAACACTACTACATGACTATGGTAATAGAAATATACAATATACATTATAGTACATATGCACAATGTACAATTACCATTCCAAATTTTACCAGTTCATGAATACTGCATGAGCCGGTGCTAGGGGGCGTGGACGATAACTTGCACGTCCCAGTAACGTCCATGAACAGGTTCAATCGAACCGAGCCTGCAACATTTTCAATTTTGTCGTTTTGAGCGTTCTTTAGGGATTCTTTATTTCTCTCTGTTTTGACATATTATTAAGTGTCTGTATATGTACAAGAATAATGCTCGCGTTTGTTTTGTAAAATATTTAAATTATATAATGAATAAATTAAGATTATAGATCATGCCAAACTATCCCTTTCTTTAACTTTATTCAGAATATTCATACAGACCTGTGCATTAGAAGGGGGTGTAAAGGTGAAGGGATACTTTTCATTTATGATATTTACTATAAACTTGACAGATATTTGTATACGGAAGCGTCATTGTGCCAATTAACATGTTCTATAAAAAGTAGAGATAAAAAAAACCTAATTAGGAGTTTATAACTACTACGTAATCCTTCATAACTCCTTCGTAGGAGATAAAAAAAGCCTAATTAGGATTTTATAATTCCTACGTAGGAGTTTTAAACTCCTAATTAGGCCTTGTTATCTCCTACGTAGGAGTTACCATTTTTTATAGAATATGTTAAATTGGCGTACATTTTTTTCCAAATGGCTGTTTAATAATGAATTAACATTATTTACCTGTTTATCAGTTTTCAGTCTTTCATTTCCCTTTAAATCATAATTATTCATAACTCTGTCAAATGAAAATGAACAAATATGCATGCGTGTGCTTTCTGATTAAAGAAATCCACTGAGGTCCAAAAGCCTATGAAACATAAAATTTGAATTTCTTACATAGTTAAAACAGATTGATGTGCAACAGATAATCTTGGACGGAGTGATGTTCAACACCCAGAGATAATTGAGAAATCGTATCTAAAAAGTAACTATGAGACTATGTTTGCGCTATTCTTCTTTTATTTAATATGTTCAGTTTTTGGTCATTTTTTTAATAATTAGAATAAATATTCTGGGTGGACGGAGTGAGCGAATGATCTTAAATTGTGCACAAAATCGGTAAAATTTTTCAGTATATATAGCTTTCCGAGATTATCTTAATCCATTTCTGTAGAGGATAAGATTTTAGCTGTTCCTGCTCACATTGACGCTTATTTGAGCGATGAAAGACAACGGAAAATGACGAAGTATGTCTAGTTTTAGCGAACTTGATTATATAGCATTAATACTCCAGTTTTAAGACTTTTTGTATATAAGGTCGCATGCACATATTTCCCTTTTCGAACCTTGTTTCTTTCTCTCTCTCTATATATATAGAAAATGTATCAAGCGGAGGTTTGAAGAAAAAAACGGACGAAAATAAGAGAGAATATGGGTAACAAATCCTATAATTGACGGGTAGCTGTCTTCAATTTGTTCAACAAGAAATATCATGTGACATAAAGGATAGCTTAATTGGGAAATAGAATCGATAAAAAACTTTAATGGTTTTAGAATATTCTTATTTCACAAGGTACAGCTGAGCTCTTAAGTAGGCCGATTTTTTTAAATATAAAAATAAGAATGATAAAAATCAGCATCGTCACTATTACATGTATCGTCGTCATAGTCGTTATCATCCTCATAATTATCATAATCATCAACGTCAACAACATCTTCTTCTTCATAATCGACTTCATCGTGATAATTATACAAGCTAAGTCCACAAAACATTAGTCTTATTACTAAAATTCTATAAACTTATATACAGGAGTAGATCTTTCGAACATTTATCCGAGCTTAGCGGTAATTAGCTTGAATCAAATGGAACGTGCGAATCTACGGACCATGCGCAGTTAAACCGGTCTTTATTTACAAAACACGTCTCAGTTGGAGTTCGAGCGTCTTTCGAATGATGGGACTGGCTAAATACCGGAATTTATTTTAACAATTGTCACAAAACGGTCATATTTCGATAATGAGATATCGCCTTTAACAATACAGTGTCCGTACAATCGCCTGTGGATTATGCGTCTTATAAAATCTTTGAAATAAGTTTGTATTCAAGTACTCGTTCTTAACCAAAAATAAAATGAAGACAAAAAGCGTTAACAGTTTAATATTCGTCATAAGCGCCATAGTTTTCTGCTTACAAGCGGTCGGATATTTTGCACCGGCATGGTTTGTCCAAGAGGTCGTGTACAATCATGATATCAAAGGTATTTTAGCTGATGGTCGCCGTTTCAAGTTGCCATATTTTCAAAACTCTCATCAAGATTCCATGGACATACCAAAGTTTGCTGAACCAAGTGACTATGGCGACGAAGATAAGATGTCCACGATTAGCAATAGTAATACTCCGGTCAAAGATGTATCGTCGCGTAGAAAAAGGGCCGTAGTAAAGCCCGCCGTTACAAGCGAAAAACTTACTCCTGGGACAGACTGTATCGGAAGTGACTGTCCGAGTATAAGTCAAATCTCTGCAAATGGAAATGGCCATTTTTTATTGGGAAAAACCGAAGCTCCTCCGAAGACGTCGTTGTCACCTGTAAATATGATTACAAGCGGGAGTGAAACAAACAACAAAAAACAAATGCGCATGCCCGAGAACAAAAAATCGTCTTTGCTGTATATAACTGCCGGTCTTTGGTATAGCAGAGCTTGTATAACAACAACGGAGCCTGATTCCGACGGCGACGGGAACAATGATATGCAGTGGTGTACACTGTACTCGAGGTTTGACGACAATACATTAGGTAAGTGGGATTTTTTTAAACGTATATTTATAATTGCTCAAAGTGAATTAGTTTCTTAAAGGCACATTATGCCTCAGAAACAAAATATTTTTTAGTTTTTTAGAAAGGGCAAAGTTGTATTTATACATGTATATGTTTAAGTTATGGTTTCACAGAATGTTAGATGCTTGTAATCTGAAAAAGTGGCGATAAATGTGAAATATTTTGTCATAGAATATGCAAAATGTAAACAAAGTAGTATTTTGACTTCCATACAAAATACTAATTCACCATAAATGCACTTAATGCAAAAAGCAACACATGAAAAAGATGGCTCAAGTAATTGACCGATGAGTAGCTTTTTGGATACTATTAATGACCATAAGAATTAAAGCATTTCTTACACATAATGGACCTATAAGTTTCACTAAATCGTTGGTACGCAAGGATGTGTGCGTACGTTAAGATTCCTCGTGTAAGCGACAGCGATAAATTATATATAAACAAAACCATTCTTCGTTCTTACAAATCGGTGACTGCAATATCTAGATGTTATTTCTATTACTAATTTTGGAACTATTTGTTTTATAGAAAAGAGGATGAATATTTTTGAGCTGAGACTTGAGGCCACACTGGGGATTGTGTTCAGCGCCATGTGTTTGTTTATATCCAGCACAGCGTGCTGTTCTCACAGGCATCACGGACGTCGGGCACTGTCTTCTTTGGCGTCGCTTTTTATTTCAGGTGATTTCAGATTATTATATCTTTAATTGATGCGAAATATATGTTAAAATCTTCCGGATGTCTTTACGAAAATCATTGAAAATCAAATATATTCAGTTAGATTATATAACTTATGTTAGATAGAAAGAACGTTATTTAGCAGAAATATAATAATGCTGAATAAAATGGTGTCCGCGTAATGCGTTAAGAAATTAAAGTTAAATCATTCTTTTCTCTTTTATTTTGCTGATTGTTCTCTAATTTATTCAGATGTATTTTTGGGATAATTTTAATGACTGGATATCTTAAACATAGAGTTAAATAACAATTAAAAACATTTGGATGGACATTCGCTTAACATAATATTAATTGAAAGTAATTTGTAAAATATGCAATCTTTCCATAAGATTCTGTATGTTGTAATTGAGATTGCATACCACACTTATGTGAAATTATATATATGTATATAATTATGCTTATAAACAATTTTCAAACATCGAAGAATATGTACTGCAAATATTTGTCCACGTTATATGTAATCATTAAAACATATGCATTCATTTGTTATTGAAAAATTTGACTTAGACTTTATAGAAAATCAATTTTATTACCTCCCTTTATTTATATGAAATGTTTAGTTCGGTAATATCTTTATAAATAATGCTTTTCGAAACTTACAAAATTGATACATCTTTATTTGAGCATAGCATCATATTTATGGTATAAAACCATAAAAAATGTGCTACAGATCTTTAAGATCTTTAATTATACATGTATTTATTCCCAATAGGAGCAATAACAGCTGTTCCTGTTGTGCATATTGTGATACAACACGTGCAAATACACGAGAAAATCGTGCGGCCCCGGAAATGGATGCAATTGACTAAAATGATGCACCGACAACATGACCTTTTCGACCATTACTCTGTAATTTTGTGTGGCGTAGCCAGTCTACTGTCCGTGCTTTCAGCGTTCATCATCACGATTATCTCGTGCAGAAGTAACTCCAAACCTGACAACTGGTACAGCTTGAATCGCAGCGTGCACGAGGAGAAGGACAGCAAGCACGAGTTACCGATAAACTGGGTCCACAATAGCAAGATCACCGTGCCACCAGTTTCAGAAATCAAAGATGAAACTAAAGGTTAGAAAAAAACTTATGGTTGTCAATTTGTCGCCCGACTATTTATTAACTGAGACATAAAAATTATTTGATTCGTGAAGACTTATGTAAGGGAATTCCTTTTGTCAAAGGTCGAAAATTGTTAGCAATTTTGCATTTTAGTATGATATATATTATCTCTCCTTTTTCCGGTATATGATTAAATGAATAATCTTGTAAAAATCCATTACATTAAGTTTCCAAAATTTCCGTCGGAATCAATCCATTGAAATTAATTTCTTGTTTCTGCAGAATGCCCCCACTGCCTACCACACACCAAACTTTTCTTTCTACTTTAAAAGCAACATAAAAAAAAACAAAGTGAAAACTTTGTCATATTTTCAGCCCGCGGGCCGCCAGGCGAGGATTCGACAAAGTGGTGACATTGTCGTGTTTTCGTTTTTTTCGTTTGGCGCCCAGCAGGAAATGGCACAAATCAGCCACCATTGTTTTTTTTCTTCAATCGTGTTTAGAACATAACTTACATTTTTATCCAGTAAAATTTCTGGACGGTAGTTGCCCAAGAAGAATAAATGTCTTGTCTCTTGAATTTTCAGAAGAATCAGAAAGTGGTTACAGCGAAGTCAAAGATGACGTCAAAGAAGAAGCTACGTCATCAGTCCACGACGGTGGCTCTATTGGCAATGACTGCGACACACTTGAGTTCGATCCTAAGGAAATGACTACTTTTGATATGTAACACGTTAACATTACAGTAGTTTAAAAACTGCCGGAAATATATATGATTGTTGAAGGTGGATATAGATAGAAATTTAATTGTTATTTTAACATGTTGTCTTCATGTTACATATATCAACTTATAATCTTTATAGTTTCAATCACTTTTAAACATTGTTTTTAAATAATCACCCACGTGCTCCATGGGGTTGTTCACATGCGAAATTCTTCACTAAAATTCCAATTAAGACTTTTTATGGGTACATGTAGAACTTTACGCTGAATAAATAACTTACTTCTGGAATATGTATACACGTGATAATTATGATTAATTCAATTTAATTAAGTTCATCTACTTATTTCTTACATACTCGTCGATGATTGGCTGTTTGACAGATCACGTGAAGGTGACAACCTATTGTTGGTCGTCAGATCCTAATGCTTATCGTTATTTAGGAGCTGATTTTCTGTCGTTGATATAACGTCACTCTTTAGCTCCCACCAACCGCCATCCCCGGACAATAGGGTTTTTAATGTTTGCGACACTTTAAAAGCTAAAAGAATTTTTTCTGTCGTTGATATAACGTCACTTACAAACTATGCTGAATTAATGAACATTTTAGCAAATTGAAATGCCATAAAACAGCTTTGATCACACAAAGTGTATATGTACGATGTACTCATTAATTAATAGCATTGTTGAAAAAAATGATACAAATTCAGTTTGTATATACATGTATTATTATTTTTTAATTTAATATAATTCTATCAATATTTTGTGAGATTAAAAAACAGTCACAATATACAAATGTACATGTATTTACAGTTATTATATTCGGATCACATCGTTCATAACTCATGATCATCTACATGTATATAGCCGAAGATGGAAGAGTTGCCATTGACTAAAAAAGTGGCACTGATTTTGTCAGCTGTGTCATAGATGTACTGGCGGTCCTCAGATATGTTTATTCTTTCTCGCCTTTTCACAAATAATGCCAAAAAAGAGAATTCTGTTGTTCACGTACAATTATATGTACATGTATGTATCATGTACAATTCTTTAACCCGCTGTTAAAATTTACTCTGTATAAATTGTGCGTCTTGTAGCTAGTATTAAAGGGTCCGTGCTGCTACGAACTATCAGCGTTTCCCGTGCAGACGACAACTGGTTTATAGTAACACTATGCCAATCGTACTTTTATTACAATTTCAATGATATTTTGTTTAATGTGGTAATAATTGTACAATGTATTTTCATTTTTGAAGATATTATGCAGAATAATGGAATGTGTCTTTAAAGAAGACTTAAAATCGTCACTGGTCTTTTGTTACATGAAGTTATCTATCCGGATTAGTTTAAACTCCAACACATTAAGTTATTGGGTATATTTCTAATAGCAAGGCTTTAAAACGGTTACATTTAAAAGAAAATGCTAGTCTATCTGGCAAATTACATATGCATATTTGTATGAATACAATAACTGGTAAAAATGTTCTAAATTTAAGATTGAAAGTCATCCCTATCAAATGCCCAAAAGCACTACTAACATAAATAAAGCATTTATTTTAATATATAGTGCAGGTCACTTACGCAACATACTGTCACTCTAGTTAAAGCTATACATGCCTCCAGATGATCCAAATATTTCAAGAAAATAAAAGTTGAGGAAAATGTACTAAGATTTTAAAAAAGTAAAAATTCAAGATTCAAGTAATAATTTACATGTTATGTGGTATTAAGGACTCAGTTTGCAATGTTTTTCACCACACAAACTTGACTAATGTAGTAAGAACTATTTTTGCTTATTTTGACCTATTTTGGTAATTTACATGGGTTGCAAGTAATACTTGCAATGTATTAATTATATTCTTTGTTCACTTTCCAATATTAAACTTTTAAATACGCTTTTAAATTTTTCATGAAAATCAGCATGAATCTGTAGGCATGCCGCTTTAAAGTGTTACAGAGTTCCTGCGAGATATTAGAAGGTAATTGGAGAGATACAACAGTTTACTGCTAGTCCGGATCTAACCCTGTTTAATCTTAATGGAGCAATACTAACCAACTTGGTGAAACTAACATATAAACAATCACATGCTCTTATAAGGCATCTTCACTTTTAAGTTTATGTTACCAATATTTCAAAAAATTCCAAATATAATGGAATTTTCCCCGACTTTTTATATGAAAGTTACGAATACTGTCAATATTTACTTCCCTTTGACCACAATAAGATATGTCAAGTAACGTAAAAAAAGAATATTAAATTCTTTAAATTTTTAATGTTTTATATAAATAGGAAATTTATGATGGGCAAATATCTTTATTCGTTGAAGGTGTACACCTATATTTGTGTAATGAACTTGCCCTATTTTAGAAAATGAGTTGTATACAAAATAAAAATAAAAATAATAATAATCAACTGTATCAGCCTGTCATTTTTATCCTATTCCAGTTAATTTGTAACAAAATTTGTCAAAAAAAAAAACCTTCAGAAAATGAAAAAACATGAAAACTAGACATACATGTATATGTTAAGGCAAAAGTAAATTTCAGGGATGACACTCATTTTATATAAGCACGTATGTTACAGCAAAAGAAATATTAAGGGCATGGAACCCATTTTATATATGCCAAGACAGTTGCCATGGCAGTCGTTTTTATAGTAATGCCAATGTTACTTTGTAGTCAAAATAGTTCAACATACCAGATATTTTTGTTTTACTAGGAGGGGAGATAATGCCCACACATCGCACAATTGTCTCCCCGGCAACAACAAATGTTCCCGATTCTGTACTAGAACATGAATAAACGTAAAATAAATTAATTTATGCAGAGGCAAAGTTGATAAACATATATACTTTACTATCTATATATACTATAATATCAAGCGATTTTTTTTTAAAAACTTGACAAATTATACCATGAATCAAATAAACAAGAGCTGTCACAGGAGACAGCGAAGCTCGACTAATAAAATACTGGACGCAGTAAGGAAGACAAAACTATGAAAGAAAAATCAATTATGTATAATTATGTATTAAGTTATAGTAAAAAAATAACATTTGTTAACATAAATTCCAAGATCAAGGGGAATAATTCTAGAAATAGTCATGCTAGAGTTATGGACCTTGCCACACAACATTTGCGTAATGATAAGAAATATATATTTGAAGTTTGAAGTAGATACCTTAAAAAATAAAGAAGTTATTATATTTCTGAAAGAAAATCCTAAGTTCAAAGAGAGATAAATCTGTAAATATTGCTTCAAGAGTAATGAACATTGTCACATAAAATGTAATTGATGATAAGGAATAAGTATTTGAAGTTTGAGGTAGATACCTTTAAAAATAAAAAAGTTGAAATAAAAAATAACATTTTTCTAGTAAATAAATCTAAGTTTATGGGGAGATAATTCTTGCAATTCTGGTGCTAGAGTTATGAACCTTGTCACATAAGATGTGGATGATGATAACGTAAATATATTTGAAGTATGAAGTTGATCCCTTTAGAAATAAATAAGTTACAGTAAAAAATAATATTTTTTTATGGAAAATTCTAAGTTCAAAGGGAGATAAATCTGAAAATATTGGTGCTAGAGTTATGAACCTTGTCACATAAGATGGGGATGATGATAACGTAAATATATTTGAAGTATGAGGTTGATCCCTTAAGAAATAAAGAAGTATCAGTAAAAAATAGTATTTTTTAAGGAAAATTCTAAGTTCAAGGGGAGATAAATCTGAAAATATTGGTGCTAGAGTTATGAACCTTGTCACATAAGATGTGGTTGATGATAAGGAACATATATTTGAAGTTTGAAACTGATACCTTAAGAAATGACAAAGTTATAGTGAAAAATATTTTACTGCACCAAAGCTTTAATCTAAAATCTGGACGCGGACGCCGACGCCAGTACGACAGCTCTCCATATACTTCGTATAGTCGAGCTAAAAATAAAAGACTCTTTTATCATTGAATTAAATCCTCAATACGGTATCTTAACAAGTTATCCCCGTCAGTCTATTTAATACAACATTAATGAAAGAAAGATTTGATTGGAAAACACGTTAAATACTTGAATATCAATTCCTCTCAAGATAAATATAACTAACCTCCGTGAGATTCATTTTTATATACATGTATTGAAATAAGGTATTGTCCTACAAACTACATTAGATTTACAGGTTTGTGTACTGACAGGAAACCGCTTCCAAGGTTGTTGTACTAATTAATTGTACACACATGCATGGTCACTTTAATTGTAAAAGAAAGCGTAAGGAAAATTAACAAAGACCATATAAAGAGACGATCACAATTCAACACGTGGTCATTTTACATAGTAAACAAGAAAAATGACTATATGAAAGATGGGGACAAATCAATGCATGGTCACTTTATTTAAGCAAGTAATAAAGACAATTGCTAAAGACCATATGAACAGAAAGTCACAATTCATGGTATAGTCGCTTTACATATAAACAGTGAAGGACATTTGCCAATGACATATGAACCGAGGGTACCAATTTAACGCATGTCAACTATATGTTACATAATGAAGGACATTGGTCAAGGGCAATGTGAACAGAAGACCACAATTCAACGTATGGTAACATTTATGTAAAACTATGGACAATTGCCAAGGGCAATATAAACAGAAGGTCACGATTCAAGGTAACCCTATAACACAGGAAAATTGCCTTTTTTATGACATGAACCAAGTGTTCGCAAGTTTATGTTACACAATGGCCGACTGCCAGGGGCAATATGAACAAAGGCCAAAATTCAACCCATGGTAACTTTATATCTAAAACAATGGACAATTGCCAATGACATATGAACCCAGGGTTGGTTAACTTTATGTTACATAATAAAGGATAACTGCCAAGGGCAATATGAACGGAAGATCAAAATTCAACCCATGCAAAACAATGGACAATTGCCATTGACAAGAATAAATGGTTTCTATTCTTTTCAATCCATAACTTTATATGTAAAAACAATGGACAATTGCCATTGACATATGAACCCAGGGTCACAATTCAACCCATGGTAATTTTTTTATGTACAATAACAATTGCCTACGACCTTACAAACATACGATCAGTTTAACTTTAACGCATGGTGCCATTATATGTGTAACAGTGAAAGACGAGGGTATCAATTCAACGCATGGTCATTTTATGTTGAAAAAGGGACTTTCCAATGTTTTTAAGTTACATGTATATGCAAATTGGACGACTGGCTATCCAATTGCAGGTCCATTGCTAATGACATGAACACAGGGTCCCATCTCCACGCATGGTCAATTTGTATGCAAAAATATTTTTCAATGGCATTAAACTGCAAGTCTCAATACAACTTGTGTCTGAATTCAACTATAGTAACCAGAAATTTGACAAAATAATGATAAACAAATAATGGGTTTTTTGAGCTTTTTTATTTCCCTAAATGGAT